GGCTTAGGTCTACATGCTGTTGTCACTTAATAGATTCAGCAGGATAGTGTACAACAGCCTGGAGCTTATGCAGACCCAGACTCAGCCCCCAAATCTGCTGCCCAGCTTCAAGATCCTCTGGCTTTGGGCAATGATGGAGGCAAAGGATGAGAAAAAGTTCACTTTCTGGATTGGACCTTCTCAAATGATCATTGGCCCTGTGTTGCCACCAGAGTTCATGTTGGTATTAGTGGTTCATGCTGCTGTCCCAGGCTGCGATGAAGCCTGAGATCCATGTGGACATATGCAGTCTGTACTGCTGCCTGATGTCTTCAGGCTTTGCTGCCTGGGGGAGCCATGCTGGTGTGAGTGGCAAGTATAACTACCTGAGGCCATGTTGAAGCTCATGATCCTTTCAGATGCTGACGGCCATGAGTGGGTCAGTGGTCCTCATATGGCCCAGGGCATGTTGATATCTGTGGCTCCTGTTACCATTGAAGCCCATGAGGATGTCCATGGTCTAAACCCATGTTAATGTTGGTGGGTGCAGAAGATCTGGCCCCGCCTTTTGCTGGCCAAATAAGGGCATTGGGATGGGCCTGGGAGGGAGAGCTGGTCTTGCCTCTTGGTCTCTGATCCTGGAAGTCTCTAATTCCCTAATAGCCTAGAAGTCCCCTTTGTCTCCTGCCACAATGCACCTAGCTCTGGTCATGGCGGAGACTCGGGAATCTTCTTGTCACCCTGGAACCCAGTGTGGTCATATTTCTGAGGATTAACTGCTTGTGAAGCCAATTGGTGTCAGCTTTTCCTCCATAGCCTGCTCTTCCCGCCCCACTGTGCCTAAGTCACAGATGTCTCTGACTGCCAGTAAGGAATGGGGTTGCTTGACTGCTTGGGGGCTTGGGAGCCTGATGTATGTGAGGGTGGGCGCCTTAGGAGTGGGGAGTCTCCTCCAGCCATATCCAGGCACACAGGACCATGGGGATACTCACCACTGTCCACTGGGGCTCCTCCCTGCCCTGTGACTCATGCTCTTGTCTTTATGGGAGAACATAGCCATGGGGAGTGCTGGATCCCCTGAACTCATACAGTGCACAAAGCTGGTAGGGGCTGTGATGCTGCCCTCTAGGGCAAGGTGTTCCCACTCCGGCGTCTCCTATCTGCATCATGACTTACAGAGTGTTTGGGAACTGTCTGTGCCTTACTTAATAGCTTTCCTAAGTTGACTTGATTTTTTTTTTTACAACCCTAACATTTATTTTAAAAGGAAAAGATAATCATTACTCTAGTGGATAACTAGTGTCACTGGCCATGAATACAACATGATCATGAAGGTAAGTATTACTGAGATGATGAAGTCAGCTCCTTGAAGGCGTCACTAGGGGTTTACTGTTGGATCCCCAGCCCCCAAAGCAGGACCTGACACACAAGTTCTCAGGACAGAGTGTGCTACGGTGTCGGTGAGTAAATGCAGAAGGGAATGAAGGACCCAAGCCTCAGTGAAAGGAGAAGAGCAGAGGTCATAGGGGCCCTGAGGCCAGCCAGCCACAAGTGGACAGATTCAGGTCATTGAAGGGGATTTGAAAAGGTGGAACTTCCTCACTGTGTGTTTTGGAGTTCTTCAGCCATCTATTCAGATGCTGCCTGAGCATCAAAGGACCTCCTGGGCACAACAAGAACCCAAAGTTCAGGTGGCAGGCTCCTCTCACCCACATTCAGGGGAGAGCAGATCCAGGGGAGCCTCCTTGGTAGAACTGCCTATGTCCTTTTGTTCCCATAAACTCATCTGACAAACACGTGGGTTGTGCCAGCCTCTTCTACCACATGCCTGTCTACTTGTGGCCAGCATGATCTTTGGGGCTTCCTGCTTCACCTATCCCAGCAGGAGACGGAATGGTCATGTAACCCTCTCTGCCTCCTCCCCACAGTGCCAGCCAGGTTGTGGTGGTAGCTGAGCTCAGGGCCTGGAGTTCGGGTCTTTGCCTGGCAGGAGCCTGTGGGGGTGGCTGCAGCATAGCATCCGGGTGGGAGGCCTGGCACAGGAAAGCTGACGTCATCCCTGACTCACTCTTCAGGCTGGGGGTGGCCTGTCACTCACCCCTACGCTCACTCTCACCTTCATAACTACACTGGCTCAGGCCTCTCAGCCCAGCCACTCACATCTCCTCTCCTCCCTGGGCCATCTGCTCGAGGCTAGGCTTGGAAGGAGGAGGAAGAGAAAGGGCATCAGGGCAGAGCCTGGAGCATCTGACTGTGGAAGGGAAACCCATCCTGCAAGCAGGCTGGGTGGACAAACCGGAATCCCAAAGGCAGTAGGCCAGTGACGTCTAAGTAGCCACCCAAATAAATGGTTACAGAAAATAATACAGAGAACCATCATTTGTTCCAGTTGAGTCCCACATGGTTTTAATTGAAGAAAGAAAAATAAATAAAACCTGAGCCCCAAACTCATTTGTTAGGTCTGTTCTGTAAGAGCCAGGCCATGAAAAACCTTAAACAGAAACCAACAGCTGTGTGGTTACTTGCTGTCTAGTGATGAGGCCCTGGGGCAGCCTGTGGAACAGCCAACCTGCCTGGGATCTACCTCATACTATCCCAGTGTATATCCAGAGTCCTGTCTCCTCCTGGAAGGCTCCCAGCGAATGATTCTGGAGAATAGGGCCTTGAGAAGGTGGCAAAGGGTAGCAGACATCCTGCAGATGACTCATTTGTGGCAGCATCCAAGGGTTGGTAGGGGGACCTTTAGTCAGAATAACAGATGGGGAGGGATGTGGGCTCTTCTACCCCAGCCTTGGACTTTCACCCTGATATTGAAGGTGGGGATTTCCCCTGATTTGTGAATCTAGCAGCGGGTAAAAGCAAGCCCCTCTTTTATGGTTAATTTGGCCTCCTTGAGTTCATCTATGTATGTCAGAGCTGAAAAGGGGCCAGCTCCAAGGAGAGTGGTGTGTGTGTATGTGTGACAGATCCACGCTGGCTCAGATGCAGGGACTGAGGTACCCAATAAACTTTCAGCAACACACTGTCACCCTGCAAGGAGGCACAGCAGTTGAGTACAGTATTGGAGTTAGGGAGCTGGAGTTTCCCACAAAGCTAAGTTGATTTCATTACTGCTGCAGGGACCTCAGCTGTCAGGGCCTCCCTCTTCTCCACAGCTGGAAGGCTGTGGCTCCAGGCATGGCAGGTGACTCTGGTCAGCAAGACTAGACATGATGGTCCCCTTCATGCTCTGTAATTTGTCCCAGGAATCAGGCATTAAGTCATCCGTGAGGCCGATGCCAAGGATAAGAGCCCCTATCAGCTTCAGGGATCTATGGTCCAGACTCCCTGGCTGGGCTGCCAGTTCTGCTGTATCAGCTTCCAGACTGGCTTGGTGGGAAGGGACCCAGGCTGTGGCACAGCCTCCTTCCTAGTCCTAGAACCAACATACATGATGGTGCCACTGAGACACCAGTCCACTTGGACCAGGAGTTGTGGCTTCTCCCTTGCATTCTGTGTCCCCAGACAAAGAGGAAAGGCACAATATTCTGCTCCAGCACCCATATACTTTATCACATGCTGGGGTCACACAGGTCCTAGCTGTAGGCCTCCAAGACAGTGGGGACAGTGGGTCTGTAGGGAAGCTGGAAAGGTCTTACTATAGGCATGGAGGATTGGCTCACGGGAGTAAGGGTATGGGAGGTTGGGTTTGAACATGGTCCCCACCCACCATGTCTGCTTCAGATGGGGTTCAGCCACCTACCAGCATTCCCCAACCCAAGAGCCCCCAGGGCCCACGCACAGCTGGGTCTCACCACATCCCGGAGGAGGGGGCTGGCACTTGGGTGGGGGAGGGCAGAATGGCTGTGAGTTACCCAGCTTACAGCTTGGTGTGGGACCAGCAGGGCCTGTCCCAGGAGGGTGTCAGCTCTAGGAGTTGGAAGGGGGTAGGTTTTGCAAGTGGCTCTTCTTCTTCCCCTGAAATTCCCGCCAGGCCTGGCTGGGCCCTGGGAGAGCCCAGCATCGTCAGCAGAGTTCCCCTTCAACCCTGGCCGGTGACATGGGAAGTACTTCTTTTTGGGCCCTTGGGGGGTTTCCCTGGGCCTCTGGGGAAAGAAGTTGTCCCAGTCATAAGTGGAAACTCGTCACAGACCCCTGCTCCCCTCCCCCCACAAAGCCCCCAGACCAGGGCTTTGGCTGCAAGGGACTACTCTGGCCAGGGCAACTTTTGGTAAAAGCCTGACATGGGGAGAAGGGAACAGACATTTTCCTAAGGTCTCTAAAATGAGACAAGTGGTGTGCTTCCTTCCAGTGTATCATCATCAGTAGCCAACAGGTAATTTTGTTAAAGAAATTCCTAGAATGTAACCCCTGGAGAGAACGGGAAAAGTGAGGAACCATAAGACCCCGGTGACTCGCAGGCTCTGTGCAGCCAAGAAGCTGAGTTCCCAGGCACTTAGCCGCCTGAGGCCGGGCAGAGTGGGGAGCACCCAGGCATATAACATGGGGAGACGTGGGTGGGGCCTCTAGACTCTGTGCTGACACTTGTCACGGTCTGGTACCCAGTTTCTTCCCCCTCAGAGTTCCTCCTCCAGGTGCCCGCCT